CGTGTGAACGCTAAATACCGGATTTCTTGCTACGTGTGAACGCGGCTATAGAGAGAAGGTTTTGCGCACCTAAACATATATGACGTGGAAGCTAATGAAGTTAGCTGTCCACCCAACAGATGTTTCAGTCACAGCTTACAATATTATTAAAGTTGGCGCGGACTCTGACTCCGAGAAGCCCACTGCCTGCACCATCTCTCAACAATTTATCTCCGTAAATATTGAAACATGTTCATCAGAGCTCACGACAATATTATGAGTAAATTCATTTCCCCGCAAAAATCCGCACGATTAACCTTTTACTTTCGCTAACTGTCGCTAACAGGTCGACCACGTGGATTTATTGTGCTATGAATTTACTCACATGGGTTTATTTATCATAAAATATTATTAACTCTCAAATTCACCTCCGATTTTGCATTGCTTTGTAACTGCTGGAAGAGTAAACCGACTGGGTTGTCGGAGTCGTTGAGGGACTTGACGTATTTGCGCCACTTCGGTACGTTGGCGTCCATGTACACGTATCCCACGCCGGCAGCGAAGCCTGCATCCTTACTGTGTTTGGTCACAGGCAGCTTCAACATGATAAACCTAGAAGTGACCGGTGATTTTTTTACAAACGAATCGAGCCGCTAGATGGCGCCACAAACTGGCAAACTATCTAACGGCGCAAACGGCTAGCGTTGACCTTCACCTTGACCCGCTAGCATTTATCCTGTGATAACCCATAACATGGGAAGCGACTGCTCTCCCATGTAATAGCTGCTGCTGATTAGAAATTAATAGGAAACCAATTTTTTCAATATTCACTATCTATTTCTATGTACTACTGGGCACGGTTGCGTTTTTTTGCGTGCAGTAAGGGCATTATGAAGAGGCAGCCCGTCTAAAATATTAAAGCTAACATAAGACCTATAACCACCCGGCGTTTTACTTGAGCTACCGTCAGAAATAGTGTGATAGATGTCCGAGACATTATCCCACTCGCGCCTACAGCTTGCTATAGCAGCGCATACAAACGACTACGGTTCCCGTCTAAGATGCCGCATCTGCTAGCCGGCTTTGTTACGACGGAGACTGAGGGCCTCGGGCTGATTTGAAGGAACGCAGGCAGAGCAACAGCGTAAGACGTAAAACCTCGTAGCACTGCAGCAAACGCGTGCAGATTGTTTATGGTTATGCCAGTTACACGCGTTCTATCTAGTCTAGGTGCCTGGCCAGTGTCAACTGAGTTGGGTTCCGTTACAGGGCCAATTTAAGACATCAGTCGTACCAGGAATGAGTATATTGTATGACAACAAAGACAATTTGATCTTCGTCCCTTCTGTACACGCACATATGCTAGATACAATAATGTAACCCAAACACAGGATAGGATCAGGATGTAACCCCACACCTATCCTGTGTTTGGGTTACATTATTGTATCTAGCACATATGTATGTATATAAACTATTGTTAGACATGTAGACCATCTCCCCCACAACTAACTCATCCCGGCTGCGAGCCTAACGTTAATACCCACGGTCTTTCCACGTATGACCGTTTCTTGGAGCTATACCTACAACGGAAAGCAGTGCAGCGATGAAAGTGGGGCACATAACTCCGCTCTCAGACTATAGCATACATCTACGCCCGAACACGCGGGAAGTGAGAAATGTTGGTGTACTATACCAGTCGACTGCGTTGTTGTTGACGTCTACGCACGCAGTCTTTGCCTGAGACATAGATGAACATTGCAGCAGCAGTAGTAGTAGCAGTAAGGGCAGAACTACGGCGAGCGCCGCTCTCGGTTCCATGTTTCGCTGTCAAAAGACTCTCTCACTTGTCAGCTCGCGCGAGATTGCTTTCCTGGGCGTGGCTCGCATAGTGACTATACTCACTACGCGTGCTGCGTGTGGTACGCTTGCCATACAAGTACCGCCATACAAGGAGCTCTTACCGTGCTCACATAGGTGTCACATTAGAATGATAGCTATATAGTAAACGAATGGTTATGTAGTAGTATGTTTTTATATAGTTGCATAGTAACGTGTGTACGCATGCTATATGTATAAGAAGGGGAGGTATAGGGCCTGGTAATGCAGCCACGCTTTGCCATGGGATGATGGGCGATGCGTCAGGGAAGCAGAAACGATGGAGAAGCCGTTGAAACAATGAGATATAGGCACGGAAGCGAGATCTGCGTCTTTATATTGACTTTATGATTGATATTGCGTCGTTTGTTAACGAAAGTTTGCTTTATTTCCATCGGGGAGGGGGTTCATTATGGTATACGAGTCGACGAATGTTTGCAATTGCATGGAAGTATATATCGTGATGCGTCAAATATATACATCAAATATATATGACAGGTAGACTGGAAATTTTATATTGTAATAAACATGTTTATTACCTCATTCTACTTAAGCATAATCACGGTAAATCGTAAAACAGGGAACGAACTAAAGTACCACACTTTTCTTATTCCAGGTTTTCGTAGAAATGCATGATATTTAAAAACTCATTCCAAAACGAGTTTGTAATTACGTAGTGCTAACTGTCACATTCACCCCGTTTCACGCAATGCACGGTACAGAACATACTATAACTGAAAATTCTGGTTTTAAATTTTCATACGGTAATCCCTCAATCTAACAATAGCCATAATGCACAAATCTTCTCGCTCGCCGTTTAAAATAAACGTCTTTCGCTTAAATACAGCAATGCCGTCTAGCGTTTCTCATAATGCGCATTATCTTCCGCTACCTCAAAGAAGAATGCGCTGTGTGGCTACTACTACTACTCAGTAACGTGACACCAGTGCATTTATATAACAAGTCGTAATCTATAATGAGCTAAGCACCATTGACATCGTTCACATTTGACACTCATTTCATTCGTTAGACACATCGACATCGTTTCTCGGGTGAGTATACTTTCAGGACAACATATTCCTCAAAACAGTCAACACTCTTCGTCCTCGGCCGATGTTCAAACAAGGAAATGAGAAGATTAAGTTTCCTTTCTACAGTCGCACACAATTCTAGCCTTTCACAAAACTATATAAAATCGCGCTCGCGTGCTTGTGTCGAACCGCAGCACAAGAAGCGATGGCAAGTGACACATTACTGTACTGCTTCTACGATAAATAGTATGACGCATCGAGACACGATTGCTGGGCGCCATCGCTTTCTGTGAGAGAACGTATCGATTTATTAAGCGTACGCGATCTTCACCATCCATCGGGCTTCGGGTAAATCAGATTTGGAATCATAACATGTGGTCCTTGCTCGGTCACACACGCCCGTGAGGACAACGACAGACGGCAGTATTGATACGGCTTCGCTTCATATCACAATGCGATACCATCTTCACTCGGCCTTCAATGCGGACAGCCAAGTGCAGCCTCGCGGGATCAATATGTACAAAGGAAACGATCGAGAGATAAAGAGATACAGAGAGAGAGAGAGAGCGAGAGCGACTTGTGCGTACAGTTTCGCGTGGCTTCGTAATTGCAAGTGCTGCGCTAGCAGCAGCAACAGCAGCAGGAACAACAGCAGCAGCAGCAGCAGCAACAGCAGCAGCAGCAGCAGCAGTAGCAGCAGTATTAGTAGTAGCACGTTGCTTTGAAAACGCATTTCCTGTCGTGAAGAAGTATAAATATTAAGATGAATACACGACTGACTGAATGACTGACTGACTGACCGACTCACTGACTCACTGACTCACTGACTCACTGACTGAATAACTGCCTGATTAACTGATAAATTGTACATCGATTCCCGGGATATGTACGCGTGAAACTGGCTAGGTATAATGTATATATGTATATATATATATATATATATATATATATATATATATATATATACAGAGAGAGAGAGAGCTGGTGTGTCTCTAATAACGATAATAAGACTCTCGTATATGTATATCACATCAACAGGTTGTTTTCTTATACAGGAATATTTACAGCAACAACAACGTTCATTTATACTTATACCTACCTACCTATACCTATACCAATACCTATATATCATGTTATGTTACGCTCTCTGATCACGACAGACGCACGACCACATTTGATGTGATATAATTATGCATCTCGGTAAAAGAATGATAATTGCAATCACGTCGTTAGGCATTACAACAACATGATGTCGTTAGCACGCTGCTTTATGTTTATCGACCATCCACGATAGCGTGCGCGGTTAGAGTAGTCAGGTGAGATACGTGTCCATATATGTATGTACACCGCTGTGACATGGAGGGGACCAATACAGGCGACATCTTGAGAGCATTCCGCATATCTAGTACTCTAACTATAGTGCATAGCTGGTGTGCATGTTGATCTCTTCTTAAAAGGGCATATCCTACTTTTCTTCTATATACATAACCGCGTGCGGTTTTAATGTCGATGTAGATGTCCGCACATGCACGCACGCACGCACCCATGCACACACCCGCGCAGTTATGCACGCACGCACCTATACTTGCGCGCACAACGGCGCTATTTCATTCGCCTCTTGCGCCACATATATATATATATATATATATATATATATATTATTTTCATCAAGACGCGTCATTACCCGCAACGCTTGCGAAAGCTTTTACTTTTGTTCTTGTGTGTACCGACTATAATAGGACTCGATACAAGCCTCTCTCTTCATAGAACCAACAACAATTCAGCCAACAAACACGGCTTTGCCTCACCCTCTGGGAGAAAGAGAGAGAGAGAGAGAGTGAGAGAGAGAGAGACGCAGCAAGCTAGCGACCCTCGTCGGGTACGCCGTACGAATTCCTAGGTTCCCTGCCACTAGGCTTCCTGCCTTGCTCCGATCTTCTCACACGCGCTCCTCTCTCACACGCAAAATCAACGAAGAGGCGAAATCCTCTGCCAGCTGTTGGAAACCTGACTGGCTGGCTGGGGGAGGGGCACGAACGCAGCGGGACGAAGGTGACCACCGACGATAGCATTTCCCTTCATACAAAGCTCGGTTCTGCCCAGCAGCCATTGGAGATGTTTCCCTCGTAGTAGCGACCAGTAACTGCGGGGGGAAACACAGCTCAATGAAGCACTCGCGTAAGGGGGGTGGCAGGGGGGTCGGGCAGCGCATCTCACGCCCTCCCGCTCCCCTCATGGAGGTGTGGGTGGGTCAGCGCCAAGCTCTGATGCCGTAGGTTGACGGCGCCTCGATGGCGCGCATGCGCATGCGTTCTCGCATCTGCCTCGACTCGCCGCCAGAGCGCGCTATGTCCTTGCCGCTGGAAAACAATGCGATGCGTGTGAAAAGAAAAACTCGACGCGACTGCAGCGACATCTATACGACACGGTGGCGGCGCGGAAAGAGACAGAGCAGACCGGAAGTCGATCAGCGCGAACGCGACATCTTTCTTCTCCCGCAGGAACTCTCCCGTGCATGGCGCGAACAACGAAAGCTCTGCCTACTCTACCCGACTACTATCGACAACTGCAGAGCTTACATTCGACGGACGTGTTTACGCCTTCTATCGCTATGATTGCCATCAATCCGTGATAGGAAATGCATTTACGGGGAAGTCAAGCTTACTGCTTTAACTTACTACTACTAAAAATCTGAATCCGGTGTAGGATTGCGTAGCTGCATGGCAACGGTGCAGTGTTAGAAGCCGCGAGACGGTGCTGCCAACGGGTGCAGTGGCCAACCGGAGAACTAGCACGGATGGTAATCGCTTTTGCCGCTATAACCTCATTCAATCTACATGCAACATGAGAAATTAAATATATAGATATTAGATATCCACCCGAGCTCATGATGCCATTGCCTGCTAAACTTTCACTCGCTATCTATATAGATGTTGTGATCGGGTTGCCTATGACCGGAGCCGAGGCTAGCGTGAGCGAGGTGCGTTGCAGCAGAAAGCAGTGACGCGCAGAGAGAAGCGAGTGAGAGCGATCGAGGAAGCCATAATGAGAGAGACAGCCGATGCAGCTGGATTGCTAACTTAGCTCCCGCGTGAAAAGCAGCCACGTCTATTCTGTCTCAAACTTGCAATAAGAGTTTGCGTGCACAGCTGACAGCTGTGCATGCGCGCATACGTGCGTGCGTGTGCTGGTGGAGTATAAACGAACACCCATGCACGCATGCACGCATGCACGCACGCACGCATGCACGCACGCACGTACGCATGCACGCACGCACGCGCGTACAATTTACATTTGCTGCTGACAACAAATGCTACTTGCAGTCAGACGGAAGAAAAGGGATACCACATCCAGATATCTTCCGCTAGATGTCACCGCCATCGTACAGTGCAGCGAACACGTTCAAGACACAGACTGACTCCACGAGACGTAGTTAGCATTCGTATCTTGGTAACAACCACAGAGACGTTAGCCCCGAGTTAGCCCATAAACTACTCGGCAAAATGCAAGCCCACGCAAACCTGCATACAAGGGTCATTCGAAGGAATCACAATAAGTGCCCGTTATAGGCAGGTTCTGCTCCACAGAGGTAACCACTAACACAGGTTTGAATCGAGTTGCGTCAACGCAAGCAGGCTGATTTTGCAAGACTGTCATGCCATGCCGTCAGGAGTGTATAATAATCCACTATACACTCCTGTGTATATAAACATCTGTATATATATATATATATATATATATATATATATATATACACACTCCTGATGCCGTGTGCGAGTCTATCATGGCTGCCATTGACATCGCATCGCAAGACATGCCATGCCATGCTCTGTGTGAGAGAGGGCGCTGGAGCCATGGTGTCATGGCGGCGGCGCTAGCGCTGCATGTGAGTGAGAGCAGTGCAGTAGCGGCGCTGCGAGTGCAGTACAAAGAACATTACTACTGCCAGCCGCTCATCATGTCGGCAACGCGTCACCGGCGGCGAGAGGAGGCGGCAGCGGCGGCGAGGGAGGAACCTCCTTCCCCTGCTCGCCGCCGCCAGCCGAGCCGCTCCGATTCTTTCCCGTACTGCAACCGTGCACGCCGGAATCCGAGCTGGCAGCAAAGCTGCACGCGGGGGCGCCACCGGCCGCGGGGGCGCCACAAGCGACGTCGACGGCGATCGTGTATTGGAAAGCGTTGGGTGCCGCGCCGGCCGCTTGGTGGCGCTGGGGCAGCGCATTGGGAATCGCTGCCGCTACGGAGAACCAAAATAGTAGCGCCCGTAAATAGACGGTAGTTACAGCAATAGCGGTATTTTCGAGTCGAGTCTGTCGGCAGGAGAAGCTGTGGGTTGAAGCAGAGAACGCAGGGAGGCGGGGGGAGAGGGGTGAGAGCGACTATACCAAGCTGCGACGAGACGTCGGTCTACCCTCCCAGCGTAAATTTTAAATCCGTTTCTAGGGTGGGCTCACCCCCTCTCCCGTATACTTTATCTCTATCCTCTGCCCATGCTACTCCCGTTTCGAGCGCTCCTACATGCACCGCGCGGCCGAAGCAATAGTTAGAATTCGGAGAGTTCCGCCTCTCTACCGCCTCCTCCTCCTTCTCCTTTCTTCTCCTGTCTCCTTTCTTCTCCTGTCTCCTTTCTCATTCTCCCAAACCCCCTGCCTTCTTACGGCTTTTCCCACCTTCTTACGCCTCCTCCCGCCTGCTCCGCCCTTCTCCCGCCTCCTCCCGACTGCTCCGCCCTTCTCCCGCCTGCTCCGCCCTTCTCCCGCCTCCTCCGCCCTTCTCCCGCCTGCTCCGCCCTCTTCTCACCTCCTCCCACCTGCTCCGCCCCTCTCCCGCCTGCTCCGCCCTCCTCCTACCTCCTCCCGCTTGCTCCGCCCCTCTCCCGCCTGCTCCGTCCTCCTCCTACCTCCGCCCACCTGCTCCACCCCTCTCTCGCTTGCTCCGCCCTTCTCCCGCCTCCTCCCGCCTGCTCCGCCTTTCTCGCTCCTCCTCCCGCATCCTCCCGCCTCCTTCCGCTTCCTCCCTCCACCACACGGCCTACGCTACGAGCAGAATTCGGATAGCTCCGCCTCCCCGCCGCCGGATCCGGTTGTCGTCGTACCTGATCCCTTGCTGCTCTTCGCGTTCGACGCGCTGTGTATGCCCGAATCCGAGTTCGGATCGACGATGAAGCTCGACTCGGGCGTCGCCATCGGACATATCGCCGGATCGCAGTCGATCGTGAACGTGTACTCGTCCTGCTGCGGCGGTGCCGGCGGCGACTGCTGCTGGAGAGGAGACACCTTCTCCCTCTCCCTCGCCTTCTCTCTCTCCTGCTGCTGTTGCTTCCCCGCTGCCGCCGCCGCCGGCGCACGCTGCTCCACTTCCGCGATGGTCTCCTGGCTCGCCGGCTCGCTAGGTGGCGTGCCGGTTCCGGCGTGTGAGGGCGCTGCGAGCGCGACGGCGGCGCCGGTGATGGCAGCACCTGCCTGCTTGGCGGTGATGGCGGCTCGTAGACGGGATCGCTCTTGTAACGCCGCGTTCAAGCTCCGGATCTTCTCCTCTTTCTGTGTGAACCAAGTAGTATAGAGTATGTAGAGAAACAAAGAAATACAGCAGAACAGTAAATCTGACAACAGCAAAAACATTATTATAGGTAAAAAGGGAGCATATAGGCGAACACGTGTATATATATATATATATATATATATATCACCGTTTCGTAGTTTTATTTTAAAAAGATATGCATTGGGTGAAACCTGTGTCTCTTAAACAGGTTACGTTACACCAAAATCCACCGCCGCACTAACCTAAATACTAAATACTGAATACTGAACACTGAATACTAAATACTAAATACTAAATACTGAATACTGAATATTGAATATTAAATACTGAATTCTGAATACTGAATACAGAATACAGAATACTAAATACTGAATACTGAATACTGAATACTGAATACTGAATACTGAATACTAAATACTAAATACTCGATATTAAACATTATATACAAGACTTTAAATCCACTACAAGCTGCATACGTGAACGCGACTAGCTCCGGCATTCGTACATACCTCCGCAATCTGCTTCTTGATCTCTTCGTTCTCTGCTGTCAACTTCTGCAGACGCTCCTCCTCCTCCTTGCTGGGAAAGTTATCGGTGAGGGCCGTCGACTCGGACCCTTCCCGAGGATAGCGCCACAGCGTCATGAACTGTAACATTAGAGAAGTAAATCAAGGGGAGCCTTCCCCAGGATAGCGCCACAGCGTGAGGAACTATAACATTGGAGACAGTCAATCAAGGGGAGACCTCTCCGGCATAGCGTCGCAGTAAGAGGAACTGTACCAGACAGACCCTCGTCACTGAATCATGGCCGTATTGCCTCTAGATCTGAAGAGGACAAGCCGGACAGCTGCCCACGCTAGATATTAGAGATCAGTAAAAGCTTAAATAAATAAATAATCATAAAATGTATCAATCGTCATGTAGCCAGCCGAGAAACCTTCGTCCCCACACATCCACCCCTGCCACTCTATGCACACAGCCTGGAAGCTGCGCTCGGTGCCAAACCACGAGATTCCCCCACCACCTATAAGGATTTGCTAAGGCTACGGGCCTGTCATTGAACGAGGGTCATGAGACTATGCAAAGTCATTACAGTCATAGTTGATTGCACTGCTTAGAGAATCCCGTGAGAGATTACAGGCAATTGTCGACTTATGGATTAAAACGCAACGTGTGCGAAGCGTGACTGGGACAGTGTGGACGCATATAGCAACAGACGGGTGACTGGCATGCACACGCTCTCGCCTCATTTTAATTACGACATGCAATACAGCCTTCGGAGCTGACAGCAATACCAGCGGCAGCTTGAATATGAAAGGAAAAATGAAATTCCCAGCCATGATACATCGAATCACACCGGCATTTGACAGCCATCGAGACCAAAGGGTTTCGAATGCGCCAAACAATAACATTCACCTGCGCCTATGCAAACTTTTAGATAGATCGAAATAAAAATCAAACAAGGAGTAATGTAAGTTGACGAAAGAATATTAACGCCATACAGTAAAGCTCCATCGATACTAGCTGTGTCGCATGATTAAGTATTAAACGTCATGAAATGTTTCGGCTATTATCGAAATATCGAATATTAATGCGAACATTTGCCATGATGGTTTTGCATCGTAGCATATACGCTGGTGACATACGCAGTTGTGCGTATTGGTTTCAGGAAGGATAAATTTTTGATTGGCCGCACGCTGCAAAGCGCACCGCTTGCAAATCTTGCTCCGCCATTTTCATTAATTCTTAACAGGCAAACATTAATAAATGATTTGCGTTTTCATTAATTATAGAAGAGCGACCGCCGCGCGCCGTTACACTCGCTGTTAAAAACGCGATTTTTACCCGAACCGACCGCACGGGAGGCCCTCCTCCCCTGCCTCCTCCCCTGCACTCCTCCCCTCCTCCCCTGCCTCTTTCCTCCGCCTCCCCGCCTCCTACACATCCCTCTCAATTCCAGGTACTGTCACTATACGAATACCTTTGCCGTTTCGACAATTTTATTAGATTATTTTCGCATATACGCCAACGCATTCCCTTTGGCGCTGACCATAGCAATAACATACTAATTAGGATCGTATATATATATATATATATATATATACATGTATTTATTTATTAATCTATTTATTTCAGATAAACATATAGATATCTATATAGATATAAACATAAGATTATATATATATATAGGTAGAATTAAACATTTTTATGGCATCGACTGCTGAACATGTGCGCGACGCTGGCGCCGCCGCGTGGCGGCGATCGGAGTTACCTTGGGGATGAAGATGAGCGCCATCGTGAGGAAGCTGCAGAAGATGATGGCGAGCGAGACGAACGTGAAGCTGGCGTTCTGCTGGTCGTCGATGATCATCGTCACGGGACTCGTGATGAGACAGAGCACCTGTAGACGTACGCAGGTGACATACAGGTAACATACTGGTAATTACAGGTAAAATACAGGTAAAATTGAAATAATATACAGGTAAAATACAGGCAACAAACAGGCGACAAACAGGTAGCAGAGATATGATGGATCCTTACACAGACTTCATTCTCTCTCTCACTGTCTCTCTCCCGCGTTCTCTCTCTCTCTCTCTCTCTCTCTCTCTCTCTCTCTCTCTCTCTCTCTCTCTCTCTCTCTCTCTCTCCCTCTCTCTCTCTCTCTCTCTCTCTCTCTCTCTTCTCTCTCTCTATCGTATATATATATATATATATATATATATATATATATATATATATGTATGTATACGCACACATTTCTTTTCGCAAGCATGCTGTTTAGTTACAGCGATCGTACATAGATGGCAGCAGCAGCGACTCACCACAACGTTGTAGATGCTCATTCCCACGAACCGCGAATCGTTCATCTGCTTGATCTTCAGACTCCGCGTCTCGTACGCGAGGAAAATGCCGAATATAAGCACCAGGCCCTTATAGGCATACATGACCCCTGCAAAGAATAATATCAGATTCTTTAGGCATACATGACCCATGTAAAGAATAATATAAGCACAAGACTCTTATAGGCATACATGACCCATGTAAAGAATATAGGCACCTCAGCATTCATTATATGCGTACATGTCCGCCGCAAAGAATATAGCCACGAGATCCTTATCCTTATCGGCCACGTTACATTTTAGTTGTCCATTGAAGCAATCGCTTTGGAATCGGTCAATATAGTGGAAGCGAGAGATAGAGAAAGAGAGAAACGAGAGAGAAGAAAGCAAAAGACACGAATAAAAGAAGAGAGACAGATAGTGGCAGAGAACCAGACAGCAAAAAAAAGGTAGAGATAATGGAAGAAAGATACAGGGAAATCAAAGAATCAAAAAAAATCCTAGAGTTAACGAGTGACGCCTACAGCGGGCGCCACACTCTCTCCCCCGTTCCGCTCACCGAGCCAGATCTCGTGGTTGCGCGACTTGCAGTGTTCGAGCATCGGCAGCAGGCTCTTGTCCTCGTCTGTCATGACGTCCTCCTTCGGGAACTGCGCCATGACGCGTCCGAGCGGGTCCTTCAGCTCCCACGCCCCGAGCATGATGACGTCAATGGCGAGGAGCACGACGATGACGACGTACAGACGCCAGCCGCCGAGGTCCTGCAGCGAGCACGAGCAGACGACGGCGCGGCTCAGCGGGACAGCTCAGCTCAGCGCACGCACGCACGCACGCACGCACGCACGCACGGGCGCACGCACGCACGCACGGGCGCACGCACGCACGCATGCACGCACTGGCGGGCGGGCACACGCACGGGTGGGCGGACACGCGCGCGGGCGAAGGCACGCACGCGTAGGATAACAACGCACGCACGCACGCACGCGCAAACGGGCTGGTAGGCGCACATGCACTCACCCACGCACGCACGCACGCACGCACGCACGCACGCACGCTCGCACTATTGCCCCGTGGCTTCACCGGAGCGAGGCTAAATCACTAGCTATGAGGCGCTGCGTGTAGGCCTACGTGCCTGTCCGCGGCAGCAGCGGCGGCAGCGGTCAACCGTCCGTCACTGCTGCTGCAGCCGCGCTCGCGTCAACAGCGAGTCAATGCAGCCTCGCACGGTGGCCGCTAGGTGGCGTGCGCGACGTGCGGTACGTACGAGCGTCATTCGGCAAACCTCGGCCAAACCCCGCCTTCGTGGTTACGGAATCAGCCGAGGTGTGCCGAGTGCGTACGAGATCCCCCCCACATGGGGACCGGGGCACGGGTAACCCTACAGCAGGCAGTCGCATACAGACACGAGTGCTGTATGGTTGAGAGGGCGCGTACACTTTACCTGTGATTTTGATGTATAGATAGATGGGGGAGAGAGAGAGACGCGGCTACAATGAGACGCAAATGGTATAAAGAAAGTAGGCGAGATGTGATTCTACCTTTCGTTCCTGCTGTGTATATGCCGGGAAAAATTGTACTTGTTTTTATTTCTGACGAAGAACAACAAATACCGGTTTCACCAGGGGTCGCCACGGGTTAGTATACTTACAGGGTTGCCTTCGCGACAGGCAATGTCAAAAATTAGTTTGCCAGCAAAAAAAAGTGTAATTGTAAATCGAAGATATGCATCTAAGAATAGCATGCTAATTTCTGTACGTTAGAAACCGCCATTGTTTTAAATGTGTGAATATTATGAAAACCTATCGACGTTTTTGCTCGTAGTTTCTGTGATACATTCTACCAGGAGTAAATAATAAATCAAACATCTAGCACGTACGCCTGTTTCCGTATTTGCTAACGATATTTTGCCTTAGCTTGCCAGGATTTACTGATAAGCGGAACCGACCTCAGCATTCCTCTAAAATGCAAGGGTTCCTGAATTATGTAAGGAAACACGCCCGTCGCATGCATGACGTAACTTTATCGGCGATGTAAGTGCTTGAGACGTGGTCATGTGCGAGATAACGCGGAGTCAAAGTCTAGAGATGCAGTGGATAATCGTTACATCCGTGATAGAAACATAGCGAACTATGTTGAATCTATCTTGAACTACAAACTATGCTCATATTAAACTACAAACTGTGTTCATATTGAACTACGAGCCATGTTCATCTAGAACTACAAACTATGTTCATCTTGAACTACAAACCATGCTAATCTTGAACTACGAGCCATTCTAACCTTGAACTACGAACCATGTTTATCTAGAACTACAACTATATTCATCTTTAACTACAAACTATGCTCATATTAAACTACAAACTGTGTTCATATTGAACTACGAAACATGTTTATCTAGAACTACAAACTATATTCATCTTGAACTACAAACTATGTTTATATTGAACTACAAACCATGTTCATATAGAACTACACACTATATTCATCTAGAACTACAAACTATATTCATCTTGAACTACAAACTATATTCATATAGAACTACAAACTATAACGGTATTCATCTTGAACTAAAAACTATGTTCATATTAAACTACAAACTATGCTAATCTTGAACTACAAACCAATGTTCATATTGAACTACACACTATATTTAACTTGAACTACGAACCATGTTTATCTAGAACTACAAACTATATTCATCTTGAACTACAAACCAAAGGTCATATTGAACTACAAACCAAAGGTCATATTGAACTACAAACCAATGGTCATATTGAACTACACACTATATTTATCTTGAACTACAAACTATGTTTATCTTGAACTACAAACTATGTTCATATTGAGCTACAAACCATTCTAATCTTAAACAATACAAACCATTCTAATCCTGAACTACAAACTATTTATGCCTTCGCTAGCAAAACTGTAGGCATAAACTCGTGGGTGTAACCTCTCAGAAGATCAAACTTAAGTAATGTTGGCACGCAGGTGGTAGGGATCACAGAAACAAGCGATCAGACCGTATCAAGGTTTTCTTGACGAATGAACCAACGTAATATAACCGTAAAAATCTTTAATTGTATACCAGCAATTGTAATGAAGCGTAACTTTGAAAAACCCGTATAAAAAAACATGTTATAAATAATATAGAATTATCGAAAAACACAACACCGATGTACAACGATTGACGAAAAAATATACGAGAAAACATTTGAAGGTGATGCTTGCTATGACCCTTACGCGGTCCGTCAAGCAAACCACAAATGTAAAACACGTCTAGCGCCGTAGCTGATAGAGAGAAAACCTGTAAAGTAACGGGTGCAGTCTGAACAACCACGTGAGCAGCTGGTTGATATATATATATATACATATATATATGTGTATACAATAATATATATATATATATATATATATATATATTTATATAATAGGTATGAGTGCAATGTTGTATGTAACAATATGCTGTTGCGGCAGCATACTGTTCACATGGTGCTGGTGCGGCCTGTAGTAACTCTATCATCTTGCCAACAGCCATCAGGACCAGTCTGCTAGCTTCGGAAGCAGTACTGCGGTTAAAACGGACATTATACTAGCCGTAGGTGGTTCTGCCTGTATACTAACAAATGACCAATAGCAGGAGCAAGATACAATAACAGATTGGTCTCTGTTATCAACTCACTCCTGCCTGGACTATACGAGCCAGCTGGCTCGATTCCAATACATTCTATTTTTACTTCTTTCTATTCTGTTTCAACATCCGCATAGCAGCTGCGAAGTTAATCCCCTCAGTTTAACAGAGCCTCACGAGCAGACAGACCTGGCCCTGATGGATTTCTGGAAAAGTATAATGCCTCTTACCTCTGGATATATGTACGTGAAGTAAGGAATATACCTCACAGTGTCATGACAAATTTAGGCAGAGCTTTGACCCCCCAAACGACCCATGTAGCGGGCCTCTGCCTTGCGCAGGTATTGTACAGAGTGCCACGTAGGTTGGTGACTTACTTGTGGTATATATATATATATATATATATATATATAACCAGCCGAAATGTAGGTTGAACTATAATGCCCTTGTTAAACTCGAGGTCATAAGGTCATGCGAGGTCACGCGAAGTCAAAGCTCTGACCATCATAATTGTATAGTGCCCCCCCCAATCCACGATGCCCCCACTACCCGACCCGGGCGGAAACAGTATGGGTTATGTGCAAATCCACGACTCGGCAAGAGACATGTACTACGATAAGTATATAAAAAGATAAATATGCATATATATATATATATATATATATATATATATATATATATATATATGCAGTGTAGACACACAGAAGAGTGCGCACGACAATATGGGTGCAGTACAGAGCAACACGGTGACGGGTGAGGTGTGAGTATAGATATAGTAAGTAGTAGCAGTGCACAGCAACAGCAGCAGCAGCAGCGGTAGTAGTAGTGGTGGTGGTGGTCGCGGTGTAAGCTGTGGCTCGAAAAATAGTCATCAAGAAAAGGTGGAAAAATTTAACAAAGAAAAACGAAGAGTGTTTGAAGCGCGCCCGGTGCGGTGCGCCCGTATCGGCAGACGCCTCCCCGAGTCTCATATCTGCCGCTAGAGGGCCGGCCTCACTGCCTCTCACGTCTGCCACCAGAGGGCCGCTATATTCGAATCTCTTATCTGCCGCTAGAGGGCAGGCCGCACCGAGCGCGAACAAGCAAACACTATGGGATGCTCTACATTGGATTTTTTCTTTGCTCCAGTGCTGTAGTTGATTCCAGACAGTAGAAAAGACAGCCTAAAGCCCTCAGTGAGAAAGACCTGGTGGGGATAAAGCAGTCACGACTCTGGGTAAGAGAAAATAATTACACGCTATCGCTGGGTGAAACTAGAGAAAATATCTGCGGGGTAGAGAAACAAACCTGCAGCGAAGAGTGGTCGGTGAACGGGGGTAAGGGTGGTGGCCAAACAAAACAATATCCGGGTTTTACTTGTGCTCGCGAGGGTTTTTTCTATCGACAACATGAAAAAAGCGATCGGTGGGGTCACGCAGACTAGGTATAGGTAGAGGGCGCTACGATACACGTTGTTCTCATTAATGCAATGCGTCATAATCAATCGATCATTCGATCAGGCGATAATGCAGCGCATCGATCGAGACTGCTGTCTGTATAGTTTCACTTCGTTAATGGGGTCATGGCGCGCCTTTGGTGAACACACGAACGCACACACACGCGCTCACACACACGCACGCACGTGCACACACACGCACGCACGCACGCACGCTCTCACGCACGCACGCACGCACGCACGCACGCACGCACGCGCACACACACACACACATAGACTACCAGTCAATCTTTGGCTATGTATAATAGATTTTCCCAAACGTAACAGAACCACGCTTACTGCTAAACGTCACCTGTGTAATAACGTATACAACAGGCATAACACAGAGAGATAGAAAGACACAGTCATAGATTAGTAGAACGGATTAGGTAATCAGATAATGACAGAATACAGAGACAGATCGAACGACGAAAAAAAGACAGAAAACGCACACACGCGCACACACAAATGCTTGTAAACCTTTCACAAGAAAAACCATTTACGGATTTCGATAAACACCGTGACAGATGAAACGAAAACAACGTAGGCGGAGCAGGGGGGAAGGGGAGATATATGAAACGCCGATGTAATATTTTCGGCTGCCTCTAATCGAAATGCACGCACGTGAAGTTTTCCGAATGTTCTCGGCAGCTGTGACAAATTTTTTTTTTATACAATACCAATACAAGTTTTTTTTCACGATCAGAGTTGTTCGGTTGATTTTCAGCATCCACTTTTTTTCGGAGACACGACGACCTGCTTTTTTGTTCGACACGTTTACTCGCATGCAGTGCAGTATAAGGACAATCATTCATTCACACCCACCAGCTGGCGACACCACTCGGCGCTCGCACCTACCGCCAACCGCTGGCCTACGCGCACGCACGCACGCACGCACGCGCGCGCACGCACGCACGCACGGATGACACGCGTGACGTCGGCACACATCGTGCGGCGCGCGACCTCATGCTGACCGCCGACGTCACGACATACGTCACGCATACGTCACGCATACCAGACGCCACTTGTTCCAAGCAGTGAGACAATGCTGGCATGCGACGACGACAGACACGACTAATAGATACCGAACACGACCGCGGCTGGGTACCTCGTAGCTAAACTCATTGTTAAGAGCCGAGGTTTCGAGTTCCGGCGAGATATGCAACAGGCGTCGATGACAGCTCTGGATCAGCTTGCCTATGGCTTTCTGCCAGCGCAAAAAGAAATCCGGGGAGAAAAGAAACCGATAGCAAATTATCAGCGACTGTGTGCCCGGGGCTGGCTATACACGGGGTGTGCACCCACACGCCTACTTCCCCTCCCTCCGGTCACAGCACGCGCGGGGAGGGGGTGAGAATCAGACGACAGCTAGAGGGAGAGCGAGAGAAAAGCTGGGAGATTGGCAAGCGTGATTACATTAACTGTCACATCAGTATGGTGGAGGAAGGGAGGGGGCGCGAGGGGGCAGAAAGAAGGTATAGTGAGGGGGAGGAAAAGGGAGAGAAGCGGGGGAAAAGAAGGAAGGGGGAAAGGGAGGGACTATATATACAGCAGTGCAAGGTTAAAGTGGGGGAAGGGGAAACAGGGAAAGGGGCGGGAGGGGTAAGAGAGGGGCTAGAGGAAGGGGAGAAGAGAGGTCGTAGCGCTGCCGCCAATATAGTTAGCCAAGCTTTAACCGAACCACCGTGACATTAGAACGACATTTGTGGGACAAAGACGGAGGAAATATGCAAGGACGACGCACGCACACGGACGTACGGTGGAAATGATCTAAGATCCGTAGGGCTCCTACAATTATGTGTGCGTGAAGAATTGATATAAATTTTGTCACCGTTTTCGCAATGATTAAATAGTTATTTGGAGTTTAAAAAAAAGAGGAATAAAAAAACGCTGTAATAAATTTTGCGACAGAAAGAGGAAACTTGCGAGATTAATTATATTCCATGGCCTGGCGATAGTTAAATACTCGAGTAATTAAAAGCGCCGCGGCTAGCTGTGCTTAATGAACAAAGGCCCTATCGACTGTGTATTAATTTACATACGCCTCCGTTGCAGAACCAGTAGATGCTTCTAACTCAAAAGAAACATTGAATCTTGTCCCTCGACGATATATCGATCTATTCTGCACCACGGCTATATTGTATATGAAACCCATCACCACATGCCTGACTACTGTGAATTTTAAGCGTTTAAACGTAAAAATAACGAGCGCATGAAGTGACTATATATATATATAAGAGTAAGCGCAAAGAGTATGTAATAAGAGATATAAGCAGATAGGAAAAGAGTGAGCGAGAGAACGAGCGGGAACGCGCGCGAGAAAGATATAGAAAGCTATAGAGATAGAGAGCGAGTAGTAATAAGCGCGTCTATAAGAAATCTGAAAGAAGTTCAGCTAACTGGCTTTTCGTGACAGCCACGACAGGAAAAAATATAATAGGCGGCAGAATATTGTTTGCGAGAGAAAGTTAAAGCAAAGACTAGCGTGACTCTACTGTTTGATACAACTACCGATGCCTTGACATGTGAACAGCTCTCGATAACTCAGTGTCGTAAAATGAAAGCGAAGAGTAAAAGTGCAGTGACACATACTTTGGCTAATAGTTCTTCCGCTCCTGTAAAGTGGTTATTGAAAACCCAACACGAAATGCGACTTAAAATGTGTGTGCCGACCTCTAGGCGGTATACGCACTTAATCCGTTTAGTTTATGAGCCTAATGAGCACGATGGGTATATTAGTTTATGTGATAAACATATACATGATTCAGAGACAGAAATTGTACGTGTCCAGCACACGCAGATGTTAAACAGTGGGATCGTATATAGTTTCTTATTTACCGGTGTATACACACGATACGCGATGAAAACATTTAATGTTCCCGACATTTCAAAAAAAGGGTTAAACAGCAGGGGTTGAAAATCTTGGGTGTTGGGGTGGGGGAGGGGGTAAGAAAGGCAGCTACGTCATATACAGTGGGTTTGTGGAGCTGATACAAGCACAGAAGATAGTCTATAGAAAGAGAGAGAGAGAAAATTTCTACGGAAGTGGAATATTGGAAAACAAACGCTTACCTCCTATCCGAACCATGCAAAATATTTCACCACTTGTTAATACATTTGTATTTTAAACAACCTTTTATAATGAGAATCGTAAATAATGAGATAGTAGCTGTTTTGCAAACTTATTATAATTGCCTTAGTTTGATTAAGCCTCTAAAACAAACGAGTCTATCAATTCTATTCAAATTTATTCTAATAAACAACTTCTATCACATTGCGCTCATTTAGATCTAAAACATTTAAACTAATACGGCAAACAATGACTACCCAGACCCACACGTACACACATAGATTTATACAGTATATGCAATATAGCTTCAAGCCAAAATAAGAATGCGGTTTGTCTTCTCATCAACAATTAATACGCTTACTTACAATTAGCACTTAATTATGTTAATAAGGCTCACCTTGGCATCCTTCTTGGCCTTGGTTGCTAGTCGATGTACGGTCCACACCTTAGCAAACATGGCTCCATAGGCAAGTGTAAAGCCAATGGTAAGCAGCCATGCCCGCATCTATAATAGGGCAACGTGCTTTACATACAGTGTTCAACGCACAACATATACGATCGGAAACCAATCCACAAACTATTGCCATGACAATGTCTATACTACAGTATAGAGATATTTAAGCTATAGCTTATAACCCTATAGGTTATAGGCTAGTTATATTTATATATATAATCTATGCCCTGTCTTTCTGCAGTATGTATTTATACGTATGTATGCTATATATATATATATTATATATATATAATATATATATATATTATATATCAAGAGTAATAATATGTACTCTATTATGTACTCTTGATATATATATATATAATATATATAGTATAATATGCGTGACGTGAGACGCTGGGTTGGTTG